GGCGAGCATAGACACGTTGAAGAGATAGCCAAAGTTCACGAGAGGTATTGCCCTGAACATGATGGAACGATGCTTCAGAGATAGTAGATAAGATTAGCATTCGGACATGAGCATCGTTGGTAACCCATGCTGCATTTTCTGGATTTGGTTGAGCAGCAGTAACTTCTTGACCATCTTTACGTGATGTGGTAGTGGAAACAATGGTGGTCGGAGGACATGGGATTATGCCATCAACATAGCCAAACAAGTTGTTTGTAAGAAACACAGTAATATGTGCCATGTGTGGCTATTATCGAAAAAAAAGGAAGAGGAAAAAAGATGAAGAGAGGGAGATCGATTGAGTTGTGGCAGCCGATATGAGAATCGGGGTTAGGCTCTGATACCAAGTGAAACTTGGTAATCGTATTGATTATGATAAGCCACGATTACTATATATATATATATATATATATATATATATATATATATATATATATATATATATATATATATATATGTATATGTGTATGTATATACTCTAAACTCTAATTATATATCAACTAATACTCTCACATCCCATTTTGTTTGGAAAAATGGAAACATTCTCTCTACATCATCAACAAATGAATAATTGTTTGCGTATCTGGGTCCGTTGTCGAAACTAGTACGTTTCATATATGATATTCTCGACAAAGTAGTCATGTACGTAACGAGAGTATGAAACTTCACTATTTCTATGTAAAGAAGATTCTCTCATTCTCCTACATGAATTTTCAGCTTTATCAACCAAAATATCGGTTTTCTTTACCGTTGTTGCAACAAAGATTGTTGCCTTCATCGCGCGATCCTGATGAAGAAGACCGAAGAAAATGGAGAAAATGATGACATTTGTATGTGATAATATATTTAAAATATTGAAGGCGAAATGAAATAGAATGTCAAAATAAAATGATAGTTAATTATGTATTTACAGGAGAAAGGGGAATTAGCAACAAAAGGTTCTTTGCTAACATAAATCTATTGAAATAGAACATGTGTTAATATATTGCATTTCGTATAAACTTGTTTTCATATTCAATCCCAAACATTATTACTAAAAGGAAATCATATTCCATATCAACTATAACATACCGATGCACGTCAATTCACCATAGAGGTGGTTAATATACGTCAATTCACCATAGAGGCGATTAATATATTTTTAATTTAATTTTGAACTTAAATTTTAATTAATTAATTCATATTTTGGGTTATAACAATATACTGTCAAATGTCAATAATAGCTTACATATACCACTTCATTTTACAGATTTTGGGTTAACATAATTCACTCCATATTCTAATTTCTTATTCATGGTTTTCCTTTGCTTCATCGTGAAGACATTTTATTTAAATATTTTATTCAAGTTTATATTTGACTGATAGTTGTATCTAGGGTTGTAAACGAACCAACACGAACAAGGTCTTGTTCATGTTCGTTCGTTTAAGTTAGCCGAACAACAAACGAACACGAACGGATAAACGAACGAGATTTTCTTGTTCATGTTCGTTCGTTTAACAAATTACTTTATTCATGTTCGTTCATTTATGTTCGTGAACATGCTAAACGAACATAAACGAACAAAGATAAAAAAAAAAACACAATTGAACATATATGAACATAAACGAACATATAATATAGCAATATAATAAAAAAATAATTGAATATAGATGAATATAAATAAACTTAAACGAACGAACATAAACGAACGTAAATGAACATCATAAACGAACGTTCACGAACATAAATGAACGAACGAGATCATTGTTCATGTTCGTTCATTTAACTAAACGAACGATAATTTTTGTTCATGTTCGTTCATTTATTAAATCATCGAACATAAACGAACTTCCCGCCGAACAGTTCACGAACGGTTCGCCGAACGTTCAGTTCGTTTACAGCCCTAGTTGTATTCTCTCGTATTAGAAAAAATTATGTCTTTTAGACATCGCATATTGTTGAATGCTACTATCATACCAAAATTCGTTTTTCTTAGTTGGAATCTTAAGTACGTTTGCTATTTGTATATGTTTATGCATTATTATTTATATTATTTGCTTGTGTTTTATGTATTTTCTTTATTCGTTGCCTTTACCTCTTTTTGTGCAACTTTTTAAAAAGCTTAAATCCCGTAGGAATCTTATCCCCTTAATTTAATCTCCTACACAAACAACGTGCAAATGTTTAAAAGATGGTAAATGATGCAATGCAAAATTCATAAAATGCAACTATATTAAGGACTAGAGTTGATAATTTACCAATACATAAGAAATATATTTATGAGAAATGGATCATCAAGTCATAGAAAATATCATGAAAGTGGTAGGAAAGTAGGAGACTACCATTTTAAACATTTTATGTAAAACTTACCCAAGTGATAGACTTATACTTTGCATTTCATATACAATTTTTTTTAATCTTTTTATGGAACATACATAAAATATAAAATAACCAGTTTGTTATATTGAACTTTTTTCTTTTTATCTTTTGAAAATAAATTTTACTTTAACTTTGTTGATCTAGAAAAATCTTGAACCCATATAATATTCTACAAACCGCGGAAACTATTCAATAATAAAAATGGCAAAATTGTACGTGAAGTTGCCTTATTAGTATGTTGTTGATTAATTTATTAATTAATTTATCAACTTATCATTTTATCATTTTTTAGTTGTTTGTATACACATTTTTATATCTTTTATGTAACATAAAAATAGCCAACAATAGTTAGTTGGTTACATTGAATTATCATAGTATGTGCGATAATGAGGGACGAGAGTAACCTTCGCATACATTTTGTCATCTTTTTATGTAACATATAAACGGGATATTAAACAATATTTAGTTTGTTACGTTGCATTGTTATATTTGCGATAACAAGGGATGAGAGTAACTTCACATCAACTTTTGTTGATCCAGAATTTTTTTTTTCTCAGACACAATACCTTTCAAACCACATGAGCTGTTCTTTTTATGTAACATACATAAATATTAAACGATAGTTTGTTTGTTACATCTAATTGCTATATTTTCAATAACAACAAACAAAAGTAAATTTCATATCAACTTTGTTGACCTAAAAAAACATTGGACTAACATAATATCATGCAAACAATGTGAGTTGTTCTATAATAAAAATGGAAAATTTGCATTTGAAGTTGATCGGAGTAAAACTTATTGTAATATTATTTACTCTAAAAAATAAAAATAATTTCTTCCATTTTTTATGCTCTCATTCATTATACCACATGTCATTTTGTAGTAAATTTAAATTAAGTTATATTTATATATCATTTTGTGAGGTTTTTTCTATTTTATTAAATTTTATATAATATTTAAATGTAGCAAATGTAATAATAAATACATATCAATTTTCATTATAATTTCTGAATTGAATCTCATTATTTTAATTGTTTATTATTTAAATTATTTTTTTAAATTTAAAATAGAAATGAACATTTCAATTTTAATGGTTAAATATTTTTCTCTCTTTTTCCTTATAAATTCAAACTTTTTAAATTTTTAGATTTTCATATTTATTTATTTATTTTTGAATAAACACATATAACATCAACTTTGTTGATCCAGGAAAAACACAGACCCATACAATACCCCACAAACAAGATGAGATATTTTATTATAAAATCACAAAATTACGTGTGTATTTGATCATTCTAAACCTGATTATAGAGTCGTTGATTAAATTATTGATTTTTCATTTTAATTATGTTGGTGACTTTATTAATATATAAGGTGATTAATTATTGATGCACATGATGCATATATCAATGATTATTGGGACATTTAGCTTCATGATTATCACCAACCAACACTTCCGATGGAGCTACAAACATAGAAACTACTAACACTATATGTCATTAATCATAAACATTAATTATTGTTTACGATTAATGGCGTAATAAAATGGAATAAAATATGTTAATTGTATATTTTATACTCATTTGATATGTATTTGATTGCTACCAATATGACAATTATAATTTTTGTCCAACCCAGAAAAATAGAACAACTTAAGAATGTGTAAAATACATAAATAAATAAAAAAACCTCACCCTCTTTACAAAAAAATAACCGAGAAAGATTGTTATACAAAACAAAATATGAATATTTTATAATTTATACTGTTTTTTGACATGCATAAAATATGATTAATATCAATAGGACAAAAATTAATTTTTTTTTTATAACATCCATCTAGATGAAACAAGTGGAAAGAAACATGCATAAAGACAAAAATGCCCTTCATACTGAAAATAATCTTCGAATATGATGGTCAATAAGATAAACTAATATTTTTTTGTGTAACCCAAAGATAAAAACAATGTGAGACAAACTCGTGTGAAAGGCATAACTACGAACTCCATCCTCATTATCATAAACAACCTTTAAAAACAAGGTTTATGCCAAAAATGGGTAATGAACTATTTTGTTTTTCACAAAACACCATTATTTAAAAAATAATCTTTTTATTTTAATAAAAGAGTAGTTTTTAATATCCTTTTGACATGTATCACCATATTAAACCTCATAATTAATGCAAATTTTATTTTTCTTTTGCCATGTTACACTTTATTATGTATTATAATATAATTATAATCATAATTAATGCATACCATTTGTCAACATATTATTTCTCCATTTTAAATTTCAAATTTTAAATTTCTCATTCTAATTACATTAAATTAACAACATTAGAATAAAAATTAAAATAAAATTAATACAAATTATAAAGTGATATAATTTTACATATTTATTTAAATCAATGATTATAATTTTATATAACTAAAAAATCTCTTAATTAATACTTTATTTAAAATAAGTTATTAATAATTTTAAATTTTAACTATTAAAGTTTAATTAATTTTATTACCGTAATTCCCACCGGTTATAAACTAGTAGTAACAATAATAACAAAGTATAAGAAGGTAAGCAATTGGGAACTTTGCGTTCACAATATACCTTTATTTTTTAATAATATTTTATGAAAAAAAATAGTTCATCACCCATTTATGACATTAACATGGTGAATCATCCCTTTACTCAATTGTGGAAGCATGTTTATGAAAATTACATAAATAAATATAGAAAACAAAAGCATTAAAGACTTAATGTGTTTTAACAAAATATCAACTCGAAAGAAGAAGATATTCATTAATTCTTATTCTCTTGAGATTTACATTTACATGAATCTTTGGGAACCCAAATCCAATAGTGTACGGAAAAACACATGAGGGTACACCGGAGGCTCCTCTGCAAGCGCCTACAACATTTCACAAATGTTAAAATTACCAAAACACCCTTTCAAAAATTCAATAAACACAAAATAAATTGGAAATAATAAATACCTGATGAATCAAGACAGTTGAAGGCGTCATTCCGGGCACAGTATTCACTTCAATAACTAAAACCTGTAAGTACTCATAACATAAGTTGCATGCATTTAGATCTTAAAATGATAACCTAAGCCCAAGGGTAAATAGGTAATTTTACCTCGCCATTATCAACATTAACAAATGCATCAATACGAGAAAATCCTTCGAGCTCCAGGGTGTTGGCTATAAGCTCAATGCGTTCTTTACATTTCATCAATGCCTCAGTGCTAATTCATGAGTAATTAAATAAAACAAGAAAATGGTAAAGAAAATGAAATTCCAAAAAGATAACTTTTAATGGTAACTCAATTTTAGAAAAAAAAAAAAAAAAAAAAAAAAAGGTATTGTAAAGTTGTACTTCTACCGTTTTATTGATTTTAGCAACTTGACTATTTTCTAAAGTGATTAAACCTTTATATTTTTTGCTTTTTAAAAAAACCATTTTTCCCATGACAAAGTACAACAAAGCTCTCTTTCAAAAAGAAAAAAAATACCACAAAGCATAATGTGCTTTATCATTTTTATCAAGTTATCCACTGAATTAATATATAATAATCATAAATTATAATTCTTCAGTGGCTAAATTGATAAAATGGTGAAAGTAGTTTATTTTGACCTTTATCAAAGAAGGTTTTTTCAAGTAGTAAAAAAAATATAGGTTAATCTCATTAAAGACCTTATATTTTGTGTTCAACTTTATTTTTTGCCTGAAAAAGTCCTTGTATTTTTTCATTTTTCCAAACTTTGTATTTTTTCCGAAAAAAAAAAAATCAACCTTCTAACCGCTTCCAAATAAACCCTCAACTTTTTTATTTTTTCTGGAAAAAACCCTCATATTTTACAATTTTTTTTGGAAAAAATGACTAAAATGGTCGCATCGGAAAAATTGAAAAAATACAAGGTCTTTTTCAGGAAAATAAAATAAATTTAAGGTTTAATCCGGAAAAAATACAAAATATAAAGTCTTTTATGAGATTAACCCAAAAAATATATAGAAAATAGTCAAGTGGCTAAATGAAAAAAAATGGTTAAAGTACATTGTATAAGAATTTTGTCGAAATTTCATTTATAGAAATTAGTTTGGAGTATATTTAGCATATAATATGAGTTATCAAAAAGAAATAATAAATAAATAGTATATTATATAATATATAAGTAACCTCATTATTGAGAGTGGGGGTGGGGTAAGATTAATCCCTGTTCCACCTGCAATGAAATTAATTGCTTGATACATTAAAAGATACGAAAGTAAATTCAACTTGTTGCTTTTCTCTTTATGAAAAGTGAAATTACATATTTGACCCTTGGTTTCAGTACCTTGAAATTTCTCTTCAAGTGATAATATGTCACCACTTTCTTTAACAGTGACACTAGGCATTAAAGAACGCATGGAGCCTCGTTTCCCGATTACTCCAACTGTTATTTCAACCCATCGACTTTTTCCTTTCCATAAAAGCCCTTCGTTTCTGGTTTTTGATTTGGGTATAATTGTAATTTCATCCGTTTCAATAAAAGGTTCAAAGATTAAAAACTCGGGTGGAGGAACTGGCATCTCAATCACACCATGCGCCTATCAAAAGTTAATAGTAACAAACATTTATAAATTATAATCATTTCAATAAAATGCATTTTTTTTTATTTTGGAAAGTTATATGATATTTTAATGTACCTTATTCAAACTATTTGGAGGAATTCGAGGAAGACAATCTTCTAATGCTTTTATATAAACACCAAGGTCACTAGCACAGCTGAGTATTCAAAAAGAAAAAAAGAAATTGTTTATTATTGTAATTTGTTAAAAATACCCAATTATAGTAAAATTTTAACTGATGTAGTTGGGGAGATATTTCAACATACAATGTCTCTAATAACATAAATTTGAAAGTAGAATGGTAGTATAAAATTTAAATATGCAGTTTTTTCAAAGTACAATATCTTTGGAAGTATTGTAGTAAAAAAGAAAGGTTAATATCATAAAAACCCTCAACTTTATTTTATTTTATTTTATTTTTTCTGAAAAAAACCTTTTATTTTTTGATATTTATTGAAAAAACCCTTAATTTTGTCTTTTTTATTTTTTTTTTCCAAAAAAACCCCTCAAATATAAAAAGTCCCTTTTTTTTCCATTATTTTGAGAAAAATCATATAATCTGTCATTTGCTGTTCAAATATAAAAAATGACTTTTTCGTTAATCTGGGCAAAATTTTAAATAATCGGGACTTTTCTATTTAGAAAAAAACTTTTAAGACTTTATTGAAACTTTTCCCAAAAGTTTGGGACTTTTCAATAGATTTCCCTTTTTTTTCCAAAAAAACCCTCGCGTTTACAAGTTTTTATGAAAAAACGTTTTTTTGGGCTTTTCTGTAAATAAAACAAAATTGAGCAAATTATAAAAATGATCCCTTTGGTTTGGGGTAATTTGCACATTTGGTCCCTAACTTATTGTTTTAACTCGGAAGGTCCCTACTATTTGCTTTTGTTACGCGTTTGGTCCCTATAGTTTGTTTTTGTTATGCGCTTGGTCTCTGTCTTACCTAAAAAGACTATTATTTAAATAGGGAAATTTGGTGGGGTAGGTAAGATAAGGTGAAGGGTTGGGGTTGGGGGTATGTTTATTTAAAAAAATTAAAAAATCAAAGGCAAAATAGTCTTTTTAGTTATAAAATATAAATAACAATATATAATGTCTGTTTTATGATATGAACCCTAAAAAAGAAAATGAAAGTAAGATGCTATAAAATATAAATAAATAAATAAGAGAAAGTGAAAGTAGGTTGCTATTTGTTGCATTTTATATTTTATACTGACCAGATTCTTGCAACTCCAGTGGAGCATCCATCTCTTGCTGGTTTAATACACAAAGTTTCACATTTCAGCTTTGATGTCACTTCACCCCAAACATCAAAACAAGATGAATTCAAAAGATCTTCTTTTCTCCTAACATCTTTATTTATAGTAAGAACCCCAAAGCTAGTAAGCTGTTCACAAAACATCAGGACGAGGGTATTTACGTCTTTTCCACATACAAGACAACAAAAAAAAAATTACAATTTTGTCTGTGAACTTTGACATACATGGTTAACTGAGAGAGAAGTTGCAACTTTGTCCATACATATCTTTGAAGCCGAAAATCCAGGACCTGTATAAATAAATGGATTCAACTGAATAAAAAATTAAAAATATAAAGTTTTTTTTCTTTTTTTATAATATTGGTTAAAAAATATTAAATGCCACCTGTGTAAGTTACTTTTTCAGCTTCCAGCAATGACTGAAGTGTTCCATCTTCACCTATGCCTCCATGCACTGTTGTCCACATCAATGAAAATCAAATAGCGGAAATAGCAATGTACTTACATTTATTTGTTTATTATATTTATAGCATATCTTAATTTTGGTTTTTTTTTCCTATTATATCATATTTTCAGTTTTACTCTCATAAAAGACCTTATAGTTTGTGTTTTTCTCCAGATTAAACCTCAAATTTGTTTTTTGCCTGAAAAAGACCTTGTATTTTTTTTTCTTTTTTTCCGATCCGACCCTTTTTAGTTTTTTTTTTCCAAAAAATAAAATTGTAAAATGAGAGGGTTTTTTCGAGAAGGGTTAACTTCATAAAAGAGCTTATATTTTGTGTTTTTTTTAGGAAACCTAAAAAATATCTTTTATTTTTTTTCCCGAAAAAACCCTCAACTTTGTCTATTTTTCCGAAAACCCCCTCAACCTTCTAACTGCTTCCAAATAAACTCTCAAACTTTTTTAGTTTACTCGAAAAAACTCACATTTTACAATTCTATTTTTTGGAAGAAAAATAACTAAAAAGGGCCGGATCGAAAAAAATGAAAAAATACAAAGTCTTCTTCAGGCAAAAATTAAATTTTAGGTTTAATCCAGAAAAAATACAAAATATAAGGTCTTTTATGAGATTAACCCTTTCGTGAAAAACTAAAAAAGTTTAGGGTTTATTTAGAAGCAATTAGAAGGTTGAGTATTTTTTTTTTCGGAAAAAATGAAAAAGTACAATGTCTTTTTCAGGAAAAAAACAAAGTTGAAATTTAATCCGGAAAAAAGAAAAAACAAAATATAAGGTCTTTTATGAGATTAACCCTTTTTTTTCTTATTAAAAAAACATTGTACTTTGAAAAATGCACGAACATTGTACTTTGAAATTTTGATCCAATTATCCATTTATAAGTATATGAGGAATTACTTATATTTGACTCGATTTATCTAAAACATTCCACATATTTATTAACTTTATAGTTATATATTATGAATTATCCAAAAAGAATTAATCAGGAGGTGAAAATTATTCAAACCTGCAATGAAAACAGTTGCTTGAACTTGTTTGGCTACCTTTATCCATTTGTTTAGTGTGAATTTAATCGGTTGTTGATCTGATATATCAAAACCTTTGAACCAATTGTGTTTCTTTAAACCATCTTCTATTTCATCCATCACTTTTTTTCTCAATTTGGAAGTCAATTCAGCACGTGTAGGATCAAGTGCCTCTGTGCATGCATCAACAACTTCTTCTGTTGTATGTCTCAGAACAAGAGAATAACTATATGGATAAAAAACAAAACCATTTTATTTCTAAAAACATGAAACATTGTTGCATAATTAACTTTTTAATAACAAGAATTAGCTTTAGAGTGCATTGATTTGTATTTTATGAGACATTAAAATATGTTATATAATATGAAACTACACTTACGGTAATGACCAAACTGCCCTTGAGCCAACATCAGTCGCCTCTGGTGAATCATCGTTTCCAGGAGCAAGCAAACAAGGAGTTACTTCAAGCTGAAAAGTGAAAACAATCCAAAATGATTTAATTATATTATGTGGGGCTTAAAAGGGTTTATGTTTTTAAAGCTTAAACCATGAAATAAGAGGTGTAAAGAAGAAAGCTCACATCACCAGATACTTGAAGATTGAGCCAAACATTAGTCCCACTCATAAGGGACACCTGGCGTTCAGAAGTATCTCCACCAAATATCACAAACACCTTTTGTAAACCTTCATGTTTTGAAGGAGTTGATGTTCTTGATGATGATTTATTACAAAATGAAGCAAGATTTGGGAACTGCATACAAGCATGCTGAATGATTGTTCTTAGGATATTGGAGTGTGAAAATCCAACCTAGAAAACAACAAAATTTATATGTTATTAGAAGTAAATTGAAAGAAAAATTGAATAACAAAAAATAGTTACCTTTGAAGCTTGTTGAAATAGGAAACTTGTTTGCTCCATTCCACTAATCTAAAAAAACAATGATACGTTAATATAATAGAGCAAAAAGTACACTAGTTATAAAAAGGAATAAATAAAATTACTACCAAGTTAATATCAGTAAATATAACAGTTCCTGATTCTGTCTTCCCAAAATCATTTGCTTCTGATGCTGACATGGCAGCAGAAGGAGGTAAGAACCAACCATCAATTCTTGCAAAATCCCTTAAACCAAGCTTTTTGAATAAAATAGAAGCCCCTTCTCGAATTTTGTTAATTACATCTAATGGAAAACGAGGTGGAGTGTGATAAACAACCTGAAAAAAAGAAAATAAAAGTACAATTTGGTGTAATTTAAATTTACCCTTTTGTGGAAACAAGAAGACAAATAGTTAAAAAGAATTAGTACCTGTTGAGTGGGAAGATACTTCCTCCTGTAGTTAAATATTGCATCCTTCTCACTTATGTCACCATTGTTGCTTGTTTGAAGCTCCACCTGATTAGATATTATGTTATAAATGAATATGGGACCCACAAAATGGAGAATGAAGAGAAACATATAAAAATATCAGGAGTTTAGATGTTAATTATTACCTCAGTTGGAAGAAAAACAACTGGCTGTTTGTTAGAATCAGAACCAACATCAAGAACAATTGCTGTAAACTCTTTTCCTCCTCCAAGAAAAATTTCAACTATAACCTTATCATCAATCCCCTTAAAAGTAAAAGAAATAAAAACTTAAGGAATAAGTTTTAACTTAAAGAGAAATCATGGTGTAGAAGATGAAAAGAACCTCAGACATAATTTCTCTAACTTTGGTTAGGGAGTCATTAACACCATATGCAACTGTAACTCCAATACTTGATCCTGCTCTTGTTGGTTTCACCTGAGTAAACAAATATTCATCTCTTGTATGTGAAAAAGACATAAATGCCCTCCTTGTATTAAAAAATAAAGTGAAGGGATAATAGATATATACCACAACTTTCCCTGAGTTAACATCTAGTTGATTGTTGGAAAACCAACTTGATAATCCAGATTCATCCAATTCATTTCCCTGAAATAGATTTCTAAACAATTAGCACAAAAAAAAAAAATGTTTTCATAATATCTTAAGTGAAAACATTGGATTCTTTTCTTCCATATGATGTGGAGGTTATGAAGCTATAAACATATGACTTGAAATATTGTTGATGGGAAGTGTTTTGACTTTTGACTATTGGTCAAATGTGTAAGATATTCTTAATATAGAGAAAGTAATGAAGTTTTGTGGATCAAGATTAATGCATAGCTTTCAAATTTGAGAGAAAAGGAAATGAAAAAAGGGAAACCAAGAAAGTATAAATGAGAAAGCTAATAATGATTATTGAATTCAAGGAAAAATACCTGAAGTACAAAGTTGGGAACTGTTATGAATCCTTGTCTCTTAAGCTCCAAGGAAGCATCATACTGCAAATGAAAATTAAAATTAAAAAAAAAAAGCACTAATCACCATAATATCTATTATTTGTGCTTTCAATGTTCTTTTTCTTATTTAGACATTATACTTTAATAGTAAAAAATATGCTATAATTAGATAGTTTTTTCAAAGTAAAATGGTATAATAGTAAAAAAAATGAAAGTACATTGCTATTTCTTGCATTCAACCTTTTGAAAAAATAATCTTACCTTGTCAAATGCAGTTCGACATTCTTTTGATCTTGTGCCAATAAATGGAACATTTGATTTTTCTAGAAGCTCCTGAAGAGTTGATAAAGAGCAAAATATAATTATAAGTTTATAACCACAAAAAAATGATTCTAAATATTTATATGATAAATTTTTTAGCAACAATGGTTTTAAGTTTAACTTTTAACCTGAATGCCTCCATCTTCACCAAATCGACCATGTATAACAGGGAAAACTATGTCCACATAAGCAGCCAGGTGTTCTGCAAACTCAGTCAAAGTCTCGAATCCTTGTGCCAGGCTGGCAATTTTTAAAAAATAAAAAATGAAATTTTAAGGTTAGTTATCTTAATAGTTAATACAATCCTGTTTTTGTAACATATATAAGTTCCTTACTTGATTAATTATTTAAGATATTTCTAGTTTTCATATTGAACTCTAAGTTAGTTGTGTAATGTGTTGTGAAACTTTATGAAATATCTTCTTCATGATTTATATTTTTATTGTTGTGTTATGAAACTTTAGTGTACCCTAAAGAATGAAATTTGAAAGAGAGAAATTGAAAATCTCACTGACAATTTATTTACCTCTCAAGTTTGAAGTCAAAATCAGCAGGAGTATTTGAATAAACCTGAAAAATAGAAAATAGATTGAAAACAAAAGGGTTAAATGAATTAACAATTTCATTTTTCTTTTTAGCTTAAAAAATAATGTAGCTGACTCTATATGATGATGAAGCAATAAACTAATGACAGGAATTTGTTAGAAAGTGTACTTTTACAAAGGGTTAAAATGCATATTTATACAACAACATTTCACTTTTTTTTCAAATTTATTCAACAAAATTGTTTTTATACGAATTATGCAAAAAAATTCATTTAAAGGAGCATAATTCGTGTCAGTTGCATAGATTGTTAAGAAAAATGTAAATTTGTTGCATAAAATACAACATTAAAGCTAAAGTTATGTATTTACACATTGCAATCATTGCTACTTGTTTAAAGCCTTTCATTTTGGTCCACAAGATTCCATTAAGTTGTTGTTATTGGAGGGCATTTTAGGCATTTTATTATCAGTCAAACAAGTAAAATAAACTGTCAAACCTGGGCAGATGATATTGCATATGCATTGAGATTTGGATCAATGTAATAGCAGCTAACATGAAGATCATCCCCCTGATACAAACAAAACACACAAAATCTGAGAATGTGTATATATGTATAATGTATATGTATTTATATGTATGTTTGAAAGAATTGTAAAGAATTACATCTACTAAATTAGCCCATGAATGGACAGATGTCATGTTTTTAAAGCTGCTTGAAAGTGTAGTATGAATCAAATTAATAAAAGAAAAGAAACACACATACATAAATTCTACAAGTCATATCATCGATGAGTGCATATTAAAAGAAAAGAAAGCAACCCTTGTTTTTATCAACTTTTTAAAATATAACTTCATCAGTAATAGACTAACAGATATTTTATTGAAAAGTCTAAAACTTTAAATAAGTTTGATGTATAAAAATTATATTTTAATATACATAATGAATTAATGTCAATTTAATTTATGATATAACATCACAAGATACAAATCGTAGATACAGAATATTATTATACAAATAAGAAACTAAAAATGCATAAATTCAAAGTTGAAGGACTAATTTGTACAAAGGAAACTTTAGCACCAAATTTGATGTTACTAAATAGTATAGCAGAGTCTAGGTTCACAGTCAACTGGCATGAAGCTATCCAAGTTTTTTAAAATCCAACTTCATGCATCATTTAAATTCAATTTGAAGTTTCATTTTACCCCTTTGGTTTTACATAAAGCTTTCCAATCATACCCCTTCCATTTTCAGTTTTTTTATATACCCTTACTCATTTCAATATATTAAACTTAATCAACTATAAAGTATAAACACATAACAAAAAAAATATATGTATTATGTTTAGTATTTTACCCCCTTGGTTTTACATAAAGCTTTCCAATTATACCCCTTCCTTTTTTAGTCAGTTTTTTTGGTATCTTTTTTCCATATCGTGTGCTCAAAGAAATCTAAGAACATGTCTTTTAGTTAGCCAATTGATCACATGTGTTAATCCATTTTTATGGATGTACCTACTCTCACCTTTTCTTGAGATTATGTCTTTGTATTAGCTAAAAGTAGTTATCCTCTTCCTCCAAAAGTATCAAAGATTCTAGCTCATCCTAATGGTAATAGGAGAAAAGTATGCATAGGAAATGTTTGTGATATACAACAATGAGATTTTGGAGTCTTGTTGACCCTTCCATTATGAAAGACACTGTTGGATGTAAATTGGTCATATCTTAGAGCTTGTCTAGTAACTAAGGATAACTCTCATATGAGAGCATATAATCATTCCTATATATTTTTCTGTAATAAGAAGCATGAGAATCAAACTAGTCTTCTATTCATATACATACCCCATTGATATAGAAGAATTTAGATTTGAAGCTATTCATTCAATAATAATTTTATATGAAAGCTCCAGGAAGTATAATAAAAAGATGTGTCCTTAATAATAGAGCAACTGATTTCCAAATGGTTTCTGAATTCTGATATTAAACTTTGTCTGTTTCCTTAAGATATTGAGCCATGGCATGAACCGCTTGTAAACACAAGAGTTGGCAGATTCCATGGCAAGATTTATCTGTAAGAATCTGATAGTTCACGAACATAAAAGCATATGGAGATTAACAAGGAACGCAGTAAATTTTCAATCGTTGCAGTTACGGGAAATCATAGAAAGTAATTTGAATTCTGAAATGAGAAACACAGATTCACTAATTGAGCTGATTGAATTACTTTACCAATATTCATACCTGAATATGATCAAGCACTGATCTCGCGGAATTAAGCGAAATCCCTCGCTCAGCAGATGGGCCTCCGCAAATTAACCCGACTTTTAAAACCCTCGGTTTTTCTCTCTTCTTCTCACCAACTCCCTCCACTTCCCGATCATCAATGGCTACCACTTCACTGCTCGAATGAACAACTCCAACTCCACGAAACCTATTTTGTCCCGAATTCATCCTATTGACAGCTACACTGGCAGGTAAGATAATATCCGGGGACTGAATTCTGGGGAAGATAGAAGAAGAATCAAATCGAGTTTTACTTGAGAGAGTAGAAGAAGTACGCATTTGGAGTGAAAGAAGTTATGTTTCCGATGAGTAAGAATAAAAGCGGGTGGTGGAGATGATGGAAGTGATGTATTTATGCGGTGGTGGCCGGCCAGGGAAAAGGAAGAATCCATTTTGGATTTTCAGAGAAGAACGAAGTGGTTCGCTTTCAGTTGTCATTTGTTGCGTCTTCTTCGTTCGCTTTCTGTTGTCATTTGTTGTTGGGTCTTCTTCTATTCATTAGTTAAATGCTTATTACAAAAAAAACTAATTTTTATTTTTGTTTATTTTTAGTATTTTTTTTTTTTGTATATTTGACCAATAAATTTACTTAAAAGTATTATTATAATTATTATTATAGGTTAAACTTACTTAAAATGATTAAAAATTGGTTATTACAAGTATATTGATGAAATTCCTACAAAAAATGATTAAATGTGACAATTACAAAACTTCATTATTCTCATAAGTTTATTGGTTGTCGGAGAAGTCGTAGAGACGACAAGCACCAAATAAGAGAGGACCCTCCAAGATAAACCACTACACAATAATGTAGTCGGCGGATGATTTAGTCAGCAGTGACGTAAAACACTTCTATCATATCATCTCTATGATTCTATAAATAAAGAGTTATGTTTTCATTTGTAGGCAGAGTAAAAATACGAGAGCCTTAAGCATTCTATTAACATCTGCAAATGTGTGAGTAAAACCCCATATAGGGTTTATAGTTTAAAATTGTAAAAACCTTTGGGTTTTAGTTTGTTTATAAATAAGAGAAGTTTTCTTAATCCATTGTTTGTGCAACTATCTGTATTTCCAAAGTCCGAAGTCCTATTCGTCATAATGATCTAGTACTAACAAGTATCGCCAGTTAGAAGGACGTAGGGAAGAAGGGACGATCGACACCAAGATTGACGAAGAAATAACAGGGCCTCAAGCACGAACAACGTATGAAAACTATCTTTTAATTTATAACAAAACTATCTCGTTAAAGTTTTCAATTTAAAAAACTATAAACTCTATAATGAATTATCTTTAATATATTTAACCCTATAAACGTCTCTACGAGATGATTTTATGAGGCAAATAAATGCTAAAAGTTCCAGATTTGCACACATTCGTGTTAGGGGTGGAATTGGTACGATACCAGGTATTTTTTTTTCCTGAACCGTGTACCGTACCAATTATAATTGGTATGTAATTTTAGTTACCACTACCATACCAAGTACAGTTGGTACCAACTTAATTGGTTACCAGTAAGTTTGGTTGGTACATGTTGGTAATGGTATATACCACCATGTATGACTGTTTTACGAATTAAGATTTATATATGATATTGTGCACTTAAAAGATACATGTGAGTTTTGTAAATAAGAGTTTTCTGATTATGAATGATATTGGTAATGATATACCACCTTTGATTTTTTGGTATTTACTAAATAGAAATTTTTAATCCATCTGATCTAGTTACTTCCCAATTTTTTTAAAAGTTAAACTAAATCCATATATCCATATATAATTAATATTAGTTTTCATAATTCATAATCAAATAATAAAAAAAACTATTTAGTAAAAAAAAGTTACTAAATACACTTAAAAACTGAATCAAATTCAGGGTTTAAAAGTAATTAAATTGGTGTAGATTAATTTAAACTATTATAAAACAGTATAGAATAAGTCCAAATATTATTGAACACAAAAAGTAATTTGAATAATTTTGAATTTTCATAATGTATAATTTATTTTTTCATTTGAGTTTATTAATTAAGAGATAATATTTTTAACTTGTAGCAAACAACTATTTAGATTCTTCTCTAATTTAATTGGCCGTCCAACTATTTACAATTATCAATTAAACCAAATATCTTTTACATATAGATTCCAATTCATTTATTCCAAATATCCAAAGTATTGAGCTTATTGTTTATTTTATATACACGATAAACTTTTCATTACTCGATTTTGAAAATTATTTCTATTACTGTTTTAAGAAATTTGTCAATATAGCCGTTAGTCCTACACATGTCATATGTCGTTATTAATTTTCTGATTTCAAAATTTTTGAATTTTCTGAAAAAAGGACCACAATTTAAGTAACTAGTAAGTGAAAAATACATAAATTCATAGCATTTTGTCATTGTATTTTACCTAGAATTACAAGTTCAATCTAAATTTTGAAAATGTCCCATTGCTGTCCTTAAATATGCATTTTGTTGCAGATAATGGTCTTCAAAATTTAGACTAAACTTGCGATTTTAAGTAAACTATAAGACCATATGCGCAACCAAATGAGAAAATTAAGGAAGCCATAGGGACAATTTCAACTTTTTGACCGAAATTGAGATTTTGAGTAAATCATAGGGACCAAATTTGTAATTTACTCTTAATATAATAATACTTCCATCACGGAAAAAATAGTTAAATAACTAAATCGACGAAAGCAAGCACGTTCTTCTTTTGTACTTCCTCGTGATACTATACTCCATGTCAAGAAATTATGTGAAGCTCGTTTCCAAGAACAACTCGATATGTTTTTGAAATATCTAAAAATCTATATGTCAAATCCAATCAATATTTTACAATCAATTCTACAATTTCCCAATTCCATCAACTATTCAAACTACTCAACCCCAACTTCTTCACCACTTTCCCATTTCCAAAAACCCTCCGAATTTCCACTACTTCATCCCATTTATCATTCAACGAGTACAAATTCGAGAGCAATGAGTGATACTCAAAACTATCCGACTCCATTTCCAACAATTTCCTCCCCACAAGCTCCCCAACCTCCATGTTCATGTTAGTTCTACACGCACTCAAGAGAGCTCCCAATACGGGTTTTGGATAGTTCATATTTTTCATTAAATCATACGCTTCTTTTAAACTATTAGCACGTCCTAACATGTCTATAATGCAAGTCAAATGTTCCATGCTTGGTTGAATCTTGTATTTGGTGACCATTAGGTCAAAAAACTTACACCCCTCTTCAATTAGTCCAGAGTGACTGCAAGCTGAGAGGAGAGAGGTGAATGTAATTGTATCTGGTTTGTATCCGTTTTCGTGCATTTTGGTGAAAAGTTTACAAGATTCGATCCCTTGACCATTCATTCCATATGCTGCAATCATTAAATAGTAAAAGCTGGAGTTAGAATAACAATAAAGGTAAAATGAAAGAAATAGCAATGTAGTTTTGATTATTTGTTTAGAGTAAATTACACGAATGGTCCTTATGGTTTGGGGTAATTTGCACGTTTGGTCATTAACTTATTTTTTTAACTCAGAAGGTTCATACACTGTTTGTTTTTGTTGATCGCGCTTGGTCCATGTCTTATCTAAAAAGACTATTTTTTTCTTGATTTTTTGATTTATTTAAATAAACATGCCTCAACCCCACTTCCACCTCACATTACCTTACCTTACATACCTCACTTTATTTAAATAAATAAATAAATCAAGGGAAAAATAGTCTTTTTAGGTAAGACAGGGCCCAAGCGTGCAACAAAAACAAACTGTAGGGCCTTCCGAGTTAAAAAAAATAAGTTAGGGATCAAACGTGCAAATTAACCCAAACCATAAGGATCATTCGTGTAATTTACTCATTTGTTTATTATAGTATCTCACTTTCATTTCTTCTATTTTACAACATTGTATTTTGAAAAAATCTAGTTTATGATAGCAATGTCGACTTTTGATGCTATAGTTGGGTGGATTTTTCAGATAAAAAACCTTATATTTTGTGTTTTTTCTAGGTTAAACCTCAACTTTATTTTTTTCGTGAAAAAAGCCTTGTACTCCTTTTCATTTTTTACGAAAAACTCTCAACTTTGTCCTTTTTTTTTCCGAAAAAACTTTCAACCTTCTAATTGTTTCCGGAAAAAACTTAGCTTTTTAAGTTTTTTTTTTTTTTTTCGAAAAAACCCTAACATTTTAGAAGTTATTGGAAAAAAAAATGAATAACAAGGCCAGATTGGAAAAAAAAAAAAAAAAAAAAAAAAAAAAAAAAAAAAAAAAACGGAAAAATACAAGATCTTTCACACGAAAAAAATAAAGTTGGGGTTTAATCTAAAAAAAAAACACAAAATATAATATTTTTTATGAGATTAACCCTATAATGCCCCGCTAAGGAAAAAAAAGGCTAAATGTAAGAAATAGAAATGTATATTCATTTATTTGTGTATTATAACATGCTACTTATAGTTTTCTTTCGATCACAACATTGTACTTATAGTTTTCTTTTTCTTATTAAGGCATTGTAATTTAAAAAAATTACCCAATTATAGCATTGCTCTTCCATTTTTTTTATTAGAGCATTATACTTTGAAAACACTACCCAATTATAGCATTGCAATTTGATTTGTTTTTTCTTACTAAAATATTATACTTCGAAAAATCACCTATTTATAGCAATCAAAATTGCTTTGTATATGGATGATATTGCTATACCTAGGTAGATTTATCAAAGTATAAGATATACAATAACAATAACAATAATAATAACAATAACAAACCTGCAATCATAATATTCCATGAGGTTTGATCTCGCATGAAATCATTTCTTTCAAACAATTCTTGAGCCTTCTCTACATTTCCAATCTTTGCATATGAATCAATCAAAATGTTGACAATTTGTGTCTCAAAATCCAACCCAAGTTTCAATATATAACCATGAAACATCTCAAGAAAACTACCCAAGTTACCCTGAAGTAAAGAAATAATCGTTACAGAATCCGGCTTATACTCTAATTGCATATGATGAAAGAATCTAACACCCATGGAAAAACATCCACCTTTCATATAACCATAAATCATAGTATTCCATGTCACAATATTCCTTAAAGACATCAAATCAAAGCAAATTTCAGCGCTTTTTATGCTTCCACATCTCATATACATATCTATCAAAGCATTCCCAACAATAAGATATGAACAAAACCCTTTCACGAGACTAAATTTATGGATCATATCACCTTCTTTTAGTAATCCCATTTGTCCACATGATTGAAAGATTGTCACCATTGTTA